TCCCCTTGCCGGCGATGGGCTTGCGGCAGGCGGCGCAGGTGCCGGCGGGGGCGGCCGTGATGCCCAGCTCCTGCAGGTCCCGGGTGAGGCTGCCCAGCATGTTGTCCAGCGAGGGCTCCGCTGGCGCCCCTGCTCCCTGCCCCACAGCCGCTAGCTGTGGGGGGGGGATGGTGAGGGTTGGGTGAAGGACAGGTACCCGGCTTCCTTTCCCCCGGGGATGAGGCTCACCTTGCTCTGCATGTGGCCCAGGTCGGCCAGGAGCTCATCCAGCTGCTGGGCAGCCACCGTGGTTGGGGGCGAGGGGAGCAGCGGCTGTGGGGCCTGGATGGGGCTACTGGGCATGGCAGAGAGCAAGGGGTTCTGTGGCTTCCACCCTGAGGATGGAGGGTGCCCAGGACAGGGAGCCCTCCACCCCTGTGAGACGCTGCCCTTTCCCCACAGGCCATAGCAGGGGACAGGGGGGCCCCCCGGGGATGTGCTGGTGGGGGGTGGCTGCATGCGACAGGGACAGGGCTTCTTGAAGCCCAGCCCTTGCCCCAGCAGTCCTGTAAGGATGCAGGATGTAACCACCCCACCCCAGCTCCCGGAAGGACCTGTTTTGGGGGGGGATGCAGGAGGCCAGGTGACCCTGGAGGACACGTCTAAGCGATGGAAAGGGCAGGCCCAGGTGGCTTTGCCCTCCTATGGCCATGTTTTACCTGTACACCGTCTTCGAAGCCTCTCCTGGAGGCTGAGCCCGAGGCGGTAGCTGCACCTGGAAGGACAAACCCTTGCGGCCGACACGCAGGATGCTCCTCTAGCACCCTTCACTGCCTGCCTGGCACCACTACGAGCAAGGTCTCAGCTGCCAGCCCCACCATGTTGAGGTGTTACCTTCAGGGATGCCGAGGCAAGTGGCTCATGGCCATGGGGGGCTCTGCCTGGATCCTGCTTGCAGGAGCTCGGCGCCTGCAGCCTGTGGTCCTTGGAGGCCAGGCGAGAGTTCTGCTCCAGTTCTGCCAGCAAAGCATCTGCACAGAGAGACCCAGGTTGGGCGCCCCAGCTGCTGGCTGCCTCCACCCCCAGCGGCTTTGTGCCACTCCTGGAATCTCAGCAGCTTCGGCCAGCCAGGGGCCAGGGCCCTGAGGGGCTGTGGTGGCCCTGAGCACCCTCACCCAGACCCCCAGCTCCAACATGGGATGCACCCACCATGCTGTGCAGCCTTGCTGCAGGGTGGGGGTCCTGCTGCCCCCCCCACCCTGCCTCTGCCTTTTGAAGAAACATCCACCAGCCCCTGAATTCATCCCAGCCCAAGCCCTGGCATGGGAGGGCTAAAGCCGAGTGCTTTCCGCACACACGGAGCTGCGTTTCCTGCAGGGTGGGCCAGGCGCTTTCTCTTTCCGCTTTTACCTCCGCCGCCTTGGCCATCCCTCGCATCTTGCTGCCCTCGTGTCGGGAAACAGGGGGGATGGCCCCTGCAGCGCAGCTGCTTCCCTGACCCTGTCTACCCCATCCCAGGCCAGGGCTGACTCCTGGCACCCCTGGCCGCTGTGTCACACCCTCGGGCTGCGGGGCCCCGTTGCGTGCAGCCAGGATTGCATCGCCGCCACAACCTGTTTCCTGCCTTCAAGCGCGCTCCATTTTTGGCCAAGCGCTCGCTCGGCCACCTGGGACCCCATTTGCCCCCCAAGATGGGAGGAGGCACAGCAAGGAGTGTGTCTCCATCGCTGCCCCCCTGCAGCATCCCCACTTCACCCTGAGGTAGAGGAAAGATGAAGCTCCCCCGAGCTGCCAAAGGCATGACCCTGCACCAAGCCTGGGCACAGGAATGGCGCTAGCGGGGCCTGGCTTACCTAAATCCTCCATCCTGTCTCGGCATGGGGTCCCAGTAGCTGGGGGGCCTGGGGCAGCGCCTGCAGGGTGGGGAGCTGGCAGGCTGGGCTGTGTAGGCTTTCGGTTCCGCTCTCCAGCCTTGCCTCTGCCCGCCCCCAGGGCTGGGGTTTGTCGCTTGGGGTTTTTCCTTTGCAGGCTTTGCGTTCTGTGCCACGTGTGACAGGCAGCAGGCAGGCAGCAGTAGTAGGGGCTGGGGCAAGGGCAGCCAAGAGGAGCCCCAGGTTGGAGCTGAAGAGGGAAGAAACTGGCCAGCACGTTGTCCAGGGAGCTCCCAACTCATAAAAACATCCGAGCTCCTTGGCCTTCTTGGCTGGAAGGCAGAGTGCACGTGTCCTGCAGCCCCAGCTCCTTTCCAGAAGCCACTGGCCATGCCGTGGTGAGGGACGGCATCCCTGTGCCACGTGGAAACGCATTTGTGATGGTGCGACAGAGGCAGGCACAGGACCCACAGTGCTGCAACACAGCCTTGCCTTTTGGAGGGTGCTTTTGGAGCCTCGTCTTGGATTTCCAGGTAATGACAAATCCCATTGTGTTGCTTAGAGCCAGCGTGAGCACCAGGGCTCGGCTCACTGCAGCCGTGCAGGGGGCGGTGGCACTGCCAAAGCTGGTGGCTGCACTATGCGCTTCCTATGTTAATGCTTTGGGCCACTTGAACATTCCCCAGTGGTGCTGCACGTGTGGCTGCTCAGCCCTGACACTACAGGCGTCGGGATACACCCGCTCAGCATATCACTGCTGGCCAGGCACAACGCCCAGCAGCAGACCGGAGCAGGGATCTGTGCTGGTAATCTGAGCTATTTACCCACCACTGGGACTCCTCTGCTTCTCCCGAGCTGGACCGCTTCAGTCTCTGGGCACCCCACACAGCCATCTCAGGCGAGAAGCCCACGAGCACCTGCATGTGTGTCTCGAGGGCGAGCAACACATGTGTTTCTGGTAGAGATACAGGTTGAGGTGGCAGTCTGCCTGGCCCTGAGACGCAGGGACCATTTGGGAAGACAGACCCACAGGTACTGCTGTTATCCCCAGTGTTTCCAGCAAGGCCCAGCTCCTGTGAGGGCGAGCAAGTGATATTTACGGCTTGGCTTTTTAGCAGAGAAATCTTCTGTCACTGCTGGGAGCAGCTGGTGGATGCTCCAATGGACTGGTTAGTGATCTGGGGTGTGGGGATGGTGTGGAGGCTGCTGCAGCAGGGAGGGGTAAAGAACTGGCACATTCATTGCACCAGCAGACAGGGGAAGGGCAGGAGATGGCAATGCAATGACGCCCGCGATCAAAACGTGCCCTAGACTCGAGGTGTAGACATCTGGGATGATGTGGCAGGGGAGCACGGCACCAAGATGCTCCCCCTGTCCCACCACAACCCTCCAGCTCCAGTTTCTCCCCCAGAGCTGCTTTTACAAACGTGCTGCAATGGGGGTTTCCCCCACACTGCTGTTGGTGCACTCCCCCTTGCTGGTCCATCACTCCACCAAAACACCCCTGCCGCCCTCTCATTGGAGCTGGCTGCGGTGACTCCCCCTAGACAACACATGCGGGGGACGCTGCGTGTGACTTGACATGGCCTTCGTGCTCTTGCTTGGGTTTTTGGAGGAGGCATCACTCTGTAGGTGCATGGATGACATCACCTTGGCTACCAGCCTGTCCTGGTTCCGGCTGGGACAGTTAATTTTCCTCCTTGTAGCTGGCCCAGCACTGGGGTTTGGGTTTAGTAGGAGCAGAATGTTGGTAACTTTAAAGGTTACTTGATGATCTTAAAGGTCTTTTCCAACCAAAGCAATTCTATGATTCTATTCTATAACTCAGTGATGGCTCAGTTGGTGCTGAGTAGTGCCCAGTGGGCATCGGTTGGTGGGTGGTGAGCAATTGCATTGTGCATCACTTGCTTCGTATATTGTTACTAATAGTAGTGTTATTACTACTGCTGTTTTACTTCATTCTATTTCCATTATTAAACTGTTCTTATCTCGGCCCATGGGCTTTCTCTTCCCATCCCACCAGGAGCAGGGAGTGAGCGAGCGGCTGTGTGGTGCTTAGTTGCTGGCTAGGGTTAAACCACACCACCGCCCTACGCAAGCCTGCAAGCTTCACTGTGTCCTTGCTGGGCCCCTCTGGAGTTTGGGCTACCTGGGGGTTTCAAGGATGCTATAAAAAGCCTTGGGAGTAAAAGTTATGAGCTGCGCAGCCAGAGCCCGTGGCTCCCTGCTCCTCCTGCGAGTGTGCGACACTTCTTGCAACGTCCCGCCTCTGTCACGCCTCCCACACTGTGGATATCCCTTTCATCTTGCTTCCATACTCTCTGTCTTTGCCTCTCTCCTGCCAAGCCTCCACTTAATCCCCAGGGAAGAGGCTTGTTCAGAAAAAAGCCACATTCCAGATAAAGCTAAGTAAGCCTCAGGGTCTTTCCCAGCACTGCCAGGTGAGAGGAGCCCCAGTTCTGTGGCAGCTTTATGCCTCATCAGGAGAGCTTTTAGGAGATCCTCAAGGAAAGGGTTGCAGTCAAGCACTGCTCTGCCTCCAGGTGTGTGATTTTCCACAGAATGGCCCAGAAACACAAGATGCGGCTCCTTCAGAAATATTACTGAGCCTGGGGAAGGAAAGGTTCACCTCAAGGCCAACGTGGGTCTCTGTGGCAGCAGACCAGCAGGATGCAGCCATCCCTGGGCAGTGGGAAGAGGGTCTGCAGTCGGGACCTGCAAACGTCCTCGTGGGCACCTGCAGGCTCTGCTGATATCTGGGCTGAGCCTGCTCCTTCCACGTCCATCCTCCCCATGGGCCCGCTGAACTCTCACGTGGTGGGCGCTGTCGCGCCCTGTGCAGCTGAGGAACTGTGCTTGCTGTGCGAGTCGAGCTGACGCGGTCTTGGCCACCCGTTCTCACGCATTGCTGATCCCATCTGCACACCAGCGCAGAGCAGGGTTGAATTAAGCCCCTTTGCCTCAGCTGGCACGCCAAGTTTCACTCCGTGTTGGTGGCAGCTTTTCTGTTATCTGCTCACAGCAGGGACGCCCAGCAGGGCACCAGCTTGGGAAAAGCCATGTGGCACGCTGAGCAGTGACTCCCAGGATGTATTTCAGGACAAGCGCTACTGGGAGCTACTCACAAGACAAGAGGAGGCGCTGCTTGTGTCACTCCCTTGTGGCTCCTTTGAGACAGGAGCAGTGCATCAGACACTTCCCTTTCTGCAAATAACAGACCCTTCCTGTCTGCGGAAGGTTTCGGGTTATTTTTAGACTTCTCAGTGATTTACTCTCCCCCCTCTGGTGATAACGTGAGCCCTACTGTAAACAAGTACCTGGAGCTGTAGCTTGGTATTATAGAATTCGCCATGATAAAACCCAAGCCCAACAGCTGCTAAGGACTGAGCTGGGCCCTGACCTGAACTGTATTTCCATGCAATGGTTTAGCCAGCCTATTTTAACAAGGATTAAGCAACACCCTGCCTTGTCTACAAAGGAGAAATCAGTCATGACAGAGACTTGAGAAGAACTTCCCACACTGAGACTCTCTAGCTTGAAATAAAACTGATTTTATTTAAGAATAAATGTGAAGCTGTTTCATAGCAGGGAGCATGGGCTAACTGCATTCGAACAGTTAGTTTGGAAAGTGATGCCAATCAGTTTTCCAGCCGGACAAGTCCTTGGGGAGGGAAAGAATATTTTCAGCCACTTACAATACAAACAACAGTATCAGACATGACTTAAATTCTTGCTGAGATTTCCTTCTCGAGAAGAGAGGAACATTTGAGTTGAAAGAAAACTAACAGATTGACATTGGACTGACAAAAAGCAAGAGCCAGCCCAACTGTCTCTGTGCTGAGGATGAGCCTCGCGCCCCTCAGGCAGCCAGCTCCGGAGAGGGTTTGTACATTGCCTTTAAGAAACCGCTGCTGCTGAGAAGGCACACTGCCACAGCTTCTGCAGGGGGCTGCCTCGGCAGGGGCAGGAACGGGAGGAAACCCTGTGTGGGTGTCTCGAACTGGTCTATTCTTTAACTTTCACATTAGGACGTACGCCTCCTCCCCACGGCCTGGAGTCTTTGGCAAGAGGAACCGGACTGTACACGGTTCTCCGCGGTAAGACGGTTTATTAGAACACTCTCGGGAACTGAGGGATGGAGGTTTGGACCCGCTTTTGTTTTTGAGTCATATGTAACAAAGCTTAGGACTTCAAACTCAAAAGTGGGAGGAAATAGAAGGCAGACCGAGTCATCTCACTGATGGGGATCAGTTTACCAAACATGATTTACCAGCTAAATGCCTCGGGCTCTTTGAAATCCCTTTTATTTTTGCTGTCTGGAGAGAGGGGATGAAGAGCACCTCATCCTGCTGCTGCAGTGGGGCACCCTTCCCAGAAGGGCACTGCACACCCTTGAAACAAACAGTGGAGGTGGAAGCCAGCTTATGCAGAGGAGCTTTCCCCCTGCCACCCCGCTGTGGGGGGACGAGCGGCAGTGCAGCCTGGCCTGCCTTTCTTTGGCTCTTTGTAAAGTCGCTTCCACGTGGTCCCAGAGAGATTCTCCCCTGCCTGGGGTAAGTTCTTGAGATTCGTTTGGACCTCTTCACAGAAGCTGGAGGCTTGCAGCAAAGCAGGCTGCTGTGCGTCCACCCCGGAGGCAGCAGCTCTCACCACTGTATCCCCTGTGTCAAAGGCTGCTCACACCTGATGCCTGGCCAGATCCGTGCCCTTGAGAACGATGGCCTGGAAGGCCTGACACTGGCCCTGCAGAAGATGTTTTGCTAGCACAGGAACTTTTTTCCAGAGCTCAACTTGCCCTCTGGCCATGTAGACTTGATAGTCCACAACATGAAGGGTTGCCGGTAAGCCCTCTGGCTAAACGAACCCAGGCTGTGATTGTTCTTCTGTTCTAAAATGGAAGGTAAGAGCAGCCAAATCATCCCCTCCAGAAGAATCATAGCAACAACCCTCATCCGGGAAAACCACACCTGGCTTCCAGCTGGATGAGTCACAACCCACTGTCAGCAAGGTGGGGTGAGGGGACACTTTCACAGCAGGATGACAGTGGCTGTTCTGAGTCCGTTGGCAGAGGGGGGCATTCGGCTTGAGGTAACTGCTTCATCTAGTGTGAGAGACAGTTCTTGAGCTCTGGAGGACATCCTTGGTTCCAAAAGCATCTCGGCTGCATTGGAGCACACCAAAGGATCTGCAGTAAGTTCTGGAGGAGGCTTTCTGGGTCTTGAGGCAGCCTCAGCAATTAGGAGGATGGGTCTGGCCAGGCCTGAGGGAGTACCCAACCACTGAGACTCCCCAGATTACAGCTCTAGTCCTGACACCGGGTGGAGTGGAAGCTGGGACACAAAACTGCTTGAAGGCGGTGCCTTCAGTGTTCAGGGGCTTGAGGCTCCTGGGTTCAGTCTGGTTTTTAGGTAACAACGCTGTGTCTATGGGGAGCACGCGCCGTCGGGTACTGCAGAAGCTGTGCTTTGGGGAGGCAACTCAGGTTTTGGAGGTGACAACAGTGGGTCACCGCCTGCAGCGCTGGGGCAGAGC